CTCCAGCAGGCTTAGCCGGGCCTGAGAGGCAGAACGGAACTGCAGCTGTAAGAGCTGCATGCGGGCGAGGGTCGTCTGACAGTTCCTGAGCAACTGCTTTACTGGCAGTTCGCAGGATAGACGCAGGTAGCCAAGCGCCTGGGCATCTTCCTCCAGAGCGTCTTGCGCATTGCGTCCCGGTGGCGACGGGTTGGTCATATAGATCCGCAGCTTGGATGTAGCAAGGAAATCACTGAAGTCTCCTAGCCACTGTGAGTAGTTAGACCCGTCCGCTAAGAGGACGGTCTTACACCCTTTTCCCATGTCGGTTGCCTAGCGAGCCTCCCTGCTCAAGCTAAAAGCAACTACAGATATTAACCGCCGGGAACCGTTACCCGGGGCTCATAACCTGTTGGTGAGACGCTATCTCACAGGGACCTAGCAGACACGACTAAGGAGACATTAGCCGTTACACGTATTCGGGAGATCCGCGACCTACCACCGAAAGCCCCTTTGCCTAGGCGTAAACATGTGAATCTGAGGTACTGTTACCGATAAACAACAGAGACTTATAAAGGCTTGGAAAGCCTATCCCAAAAGGACGAGAGCTATCAGTACGCTAGAACCTAATAGCCGTTTTGACGGGCCTCCCGAGACAGGTCCAAAGCTGTTACTCAGTCTAACATGCGACCTCAGACCGGCCACAGCTGTCACTCACGACAGCCTGACAAGTTACCCAAGCAGGCCACAGGGCGACACGGCAACCCTTCGCATCAACATGGTCGACTGGGTGTTGCATAGCATGTGTGGAGCTTTAGTATGCACCCAGCGATTCGATCTCAATTGGAGGTATCGAGCAAGAACCAGCGGTCCATCCAGTTGGGTGCAGCAGATAGTAGTAGTGCCGCCAGAGAAGGAACCAACGTACGCCTGTAGTGCCTGCGCCTGCACCTCGTGACAGTGGCAGTGCGCAACGTGGTGGAGAACGAGCAAGAGTCCAGGAGGGTCATGTGCACGGGCTGGGGCTGGGGCTGGGGCTGGGAAGGCTGGGAAGGCAATACTTGGCAGTGAACCGGCAAGGCGAGTGGGTGCTGCCGTGAAGAGGAGAGGCGAGAAGGC